AAAACTTAAAACAATTAATAAATATTTTTGTATTTCAAAATATTTGGGGGGGGGGGGGGAATAAAGTGGTTAACTTTAAAAACAGATCATGGTTTAACATTACACCCCCAGCCCCCTCCCTTCCAAAATATAAGAAGAAATGATTTACATGTACTTTGCCACATAAGCGTGGAACTTACTCAAAATCTTCCCAAGGTAATAAACGAATTTTAAAGAAATAGTTTTCAGTTTTAACAAGAGTATAACATTAAAACTACAAGTACCGGCTAGGCCAAAAAGTTAAAGACTCGCAAAGACCATAGTTTTGCTACTTTAAATCGCTGCGGTGTACGCAGGCCATGATTTAGCTAGGTACACCACCGCGGTGTACGCAGGCCAAAGTCAATAGTTTCGCTAGGTACACCGCCGCGGTGTACGTAGTGCCGGCCAATTATAATTGGTACTTGACAAATCATTGCAGAGATAGTCAATGATTGTGAATTATGCGCAGTAGTTAAGGAGCCTCTATAGAGTTTAAAACTTATAAAGCATTCTATACGATACCACAAAGATGGTGAAGTTGTATCTGCCTACTGTCTCCACTCCTGAAAAAGACCTTGCTTTTATCACGGTGGGGAGATGCTTGCTGTTCAATGTCTGTGGCCTGCATGTGATTTCTTGAAACATGTTTGATGGTCTCATGTTTCAATTCAAAGCCATATTGTTTTGTTATTGCAGTTCCTTAAAAGTCCCTGTAAATTCTTATATTTTATTTGCTCAGATCTTCATCAGATATCCTTAACATCAGCTGAGCACACTCCTCGCAATCGACGCTCCATATTCGGCTTTTCCCCACCTGACATTCAGCACGGGCAGAGAAGTCACGAGAAAGGCCCTGATAGCGATGGAAATGGTTCAGTGGATGTGAGATCTGTCTGTGATGCCTCTGTGTCAGAATATATGAGCTCTATTTGGCAGATGCTGGATGCCACAGATGTGATTGGCGTTGCCCCCACGGTACAGGAGGTCCTTTTCAACTGTGTCACAAGTTGTATTTGTGTTGTTGACCCCCAGCGAGGAGGCAAGGTACGTCAGAGCAAGTTCATGAAAAGAAATGTATAAGATTAATGAAAGAGGGGGCTTTGTTCTCATTATTGCAGACCGGTTAAGCTTAGCATGTGAGAAGTGCACAGAGTTTTGTTCAAGCCACTTGTGCCCCACAGACTTCACAGTTCAGAAGACAGTATTTGGCAAGGCATGTAATCCTATTCCACACTTTCAAAACAAGTGATGGGAGCCTGCATGATGAAAAATAATATGTGAAGCCATTTTGTTGTTAACAATAGAGGAAATTTATTTTTTAAAGAATTGATGATGTTAGTTGAAATATTTTTCTACCAAACTTTGCTGACACAGGTTATCTCAATTGTTTGGATTATAAATAAATCAAACCATTTTCAATTCTTATTTAAATCAGGGATCTTGATCTTTAGCATGTTTACAGCACACACAAATTTGAATTAATGGCTAAAAGCCAGCTAAATACTCACATTCATCATTATGAAGTTTGTTTTTTCTCCTTACAATTAGTGATTCATTTTCTTCTCATGCTACTCTAAGAAGCAAGGAGCCCTGTGAACAGTATTCAAAGATTTTATCTTTCTTTTTTCTGTTTTAAAAAAAAAATTATTTGTATTTTTTTTATTTTGCAGATCATATCTTTAAATGAGGCCTTCCAGTTTCTGATTGGGGTTCATGAAAAGGTTGTCAATCAAAGATTGTTCCGCTTCATCAAGGTTAGGGAATCCCCATACAACTTGGGCGCATCCTTACCACAGTTGTTTTTACTGGCTGACGGCACAATCACCAAGGTGTCTGGCAAACTGGTATGTCTTCTTAATTTTATTTTATTTTATTTTTTAAATACTTTGAGGTGGGTGGATAAATTATATCTACTTCAGAAACTATTTATTCAACTTGAGTCTGATCTAGAAGCAAAGTTTCTCTAATGATAACTTTCTAAGAAAAATGAAATTTCTTTTTTGGCACAGTGGAACTCTTAATAAAATATTAAACGAATTTTCTAAAAATAGTATCACATCTTATACACAAGATAGACCGGATTTAATTCTCCCATCCTTGGGCCATAAATGCAGGGTTTTAATGGTGAAAGCTATATGATGCTGTTTTTACACTGCTTTTTTCCCAATTCATTGCTGTCACTTTACTTTATAGTTGCTTTTGTATATTTAATTTCAGGTGACATGCATCGATGCTCGTGGGAAGGAGAGCCAAGTATCCGTATGGACCGTTCCATTCAGCCCTCGGCCAAAGTTGACAGTGTGTGTTGTTGGACTGGTCCAGTCTCTCACTGCCAATGTCAGTCTTGATCATCGTGGCAGTGTGTTGACCCAATCTGCTACTTTTGACGACGGGATTGACAAGTGGTTAACTCAAACAATCAACAGCTCTGACGGTTTTGTACCTTCTTTAGATCTGGATCTTTCCAAAGTTAGTCCTTTATTTATCAAAATGATATCTGTCCTCTTTGTTTTCCCCATTATGTATTACTTACATCAAAGAATAAAGCCAGTTTTAATGACTTGAAGATATTAGAAGATATAGCTAAACAGGAACTGATTGATAGACTGACCCGCGTTTTTCATATCCATTCAGAATAAAATGTTACATTTAAAAATCATAGCTTTAAAACAGAGGTTGGTTGAAGTTGATTATTATTATATCTCCTTTAAAAAGAACAAAATATACACGATTTTAAACAACTGATCATACAAACAAACAAAACAAAAATCGTTCAAACATGATTTTTAACAACTGATGATATCACTGAATATTTTAAACAAAATAAAATTAAGTTTGAAGAAGAAAAAATTCTGCATTAAATTCCAACTGGCAAACACCTGATTTGTGTTTTTAAAAAAACAGATGAATGTGCACCAACACACAGAATTGCTAACAGAGGATGGATGTACTCTTCCACTGACAGTCACTCTGCTGGATTGCTTGGGTCAGTAGAGCTTTATTGAGTTGTCAGCGTTAAAGTAATTATGGTCTGTGTTATAAATATATTCAATGTTTAACTGATTATTTTCTCTGTCTAGTTATGTAAATAATATTCCCGGCACCCTCGTAATTTAAAGGTAAAGCAGGCTCTAGAAAACTCATTCTTATTATTACAGTTGGCGCTGAGATTGTGTTAAGTCTTTAAGTGTTATTATGAAAGGAAAGGCTGTGCTCAGGTTGAAGCAATCACAAATACAGCACAAATGGTAGGGTTAACTTTTGAACTTGCATTTGATAATCATATAAGTGATGTAGTTCTTACTGGTTAGGTATAGGTGATGATGGAGAACCCTTGTTTCCTGCTGGCATCACAGTCTCCACTGAAAGAGCTGGGTTGATGGTGGTGCAAGCTGATGGACAGATCAGGGCCCTTGATAAACATTTCTTTCACATACATCTGGGGCTGCATCGTCTCCAGGAAAAGGTGAGGACATTGAGGAAGTTGGGGGGGGGGGG